CTGCTGCTGCTGCTGCTGCTGCTGCTACTACTACTGCTACTACTACTGCTACTATTACCGCCACTTTCTACTACTATCGCTCTCGAAGCTAAGAAAAAAAGAAGAAACGAGAAAATATAAAGCAGCAGACACCATCAAACGACTGACTGAAAGGATCAATAGTCCGAATCGATCGACCGATGATTGACGACAGGTTTCTCGTCATCCCGTAACTCGATATGGTATCATCACGAATATGATCAAATTTTATAACACGCATCCACATACACACACGTGAATGCGCGCATGTACACACATCTTCTAAATATCTGCCACAAAACTCGTCGCGACAAACCGACGTGATTTTCTCTTCGCGATAAACGTTAAGACGTACGTAAAGAGTGTGATACTATCGTAGTTACTAACTCTCTTTTCTCTGCGGTACTATTAGTACCCGCGCACTATCAACAGAAGTCCGTTACGAACTTTCGGGATATCGATCACGTAATTCTACTAGAAAGCGTGGAAAGGAAAAAAGACAGACTTTTACCTCGAATCTACCAAATTGGCGTGGAATAACGGGGTGAACGAGATTCGCGTGAAATTCAAGGATGAGGAATGAAAGCTGATGAGGCTCGCTGATTGACGTGATCCAAATAACGTAACCGCAAGAAGAGGAGCCGCAGAAGAAACGAAACTATACGTAGAACTCCGGTGTTTCATGTCCGTATCTGATCATGTGCATCTGGATGCGAGTATTTGCTACGTACATATATTTCACGATAATCAACATCGAGTCTTTGTCGTCATTATCGTCGTCATCATCGTCGCCGCTGTAGCTATCACCATCATCGTCATTCAACACTCCGCAAGCAACGGTCCAAACATGCAACGTGAAAAAGACTATTACTCTATTATAGTATCGATTCGTTCATTTATGCCTTCAATGCGACTTTTATCGCGCTATCACATCCATCATTCATCAGTCCTAGGATCTCTCGCTTGCGTCGCGCGTCCTTCGGACAATTCTCGAACTTCCATTTGTAACTTTTGAAAGCCGTTTACGCTAATTTTTTACTTATTTTAATGTACCAACTATGACATAAAGTGGTTTTCACAAAGATGACTAAATTAAGACTCATAAGAACAAAATCTATAGATTGATGAAAAGGTTTCATTATTATTGATGAATAAAATTATAATTTAAAAAATATAAAAACATAAAATTATTAAGCAAGTTAAATAGATGTTTGTAAAGTTCTGTATTTTCTTAGCTACAATATCTTTGTATAAATGTAAATTTGGAATTATTTGGTGGTTGAATTCTAGTCAATTTTACTTACAAGTAAACCTATCCAAGTGTTATACTCCGATTTTGATAAGCTTTGAATATGTTTTATTCTAGGTAAAAGTAAGAGACACGTATTTTTTTTATATGTGCTCATATAGCCGTTAAGGGGATGAAGCACCCTCTCAAAAAAAAACAGCTTTTACATTTCTGAGCTAATACCGTCGAAATAGTAAAAGATATTACAAAAGTTTCAAATAAAAGTTTTATAATTTTCAATGTATTTTATAACAATTTACTTAGATTTTTCGAAAATATCATTCTTGTCGAAGTCCCATTCAATTTTTGAAAATTTTAAAATTTGTCTTATATAAAAACTTATAACATATTTAACGACAAATACAACCATGCGTGATAAAGTTGAATTGCGAAGATGCATTTTTCGGAAATAAGCTAGATATACCTTTACATCGCTATTGTCGTTAAATATGCTTAATAAGTTTTGCTAAAAAACAAATTAAAAAATTTTCAAAAATTGAGGGAGATAGAAGAATTTAAAAAAATATAAGTAAAGTGTTATAAAGTACATTAAAAACCATAAAATTTTTATTTGAAACTTTTTTATATCTTTTATCGTTTCGATGGTATTAGCTCAGAAATATAAAAATCGTTTTTTTTTGTCAAGAAGCTGTTTTATCCTCTTAGTGGCCGTACGGGCACGTATAAAAAAATATGTACCTCTTACTTCGATCTAGATTACAACATGCTCAGAGCTTATCAAAATTGGAATGTAATACTTAGATAAGTTTACTTGTTGCTTTAGTAATTCCTTGTATTGTTATTTGCAGAAATTATAACGTAACATACGGAGCAGTGGTCTGCCTTAAAAGATAATAAGCAGAATTAACATTGAAAATATTATAGATATAATATGTATAATATTTTTTACAAAAATCGCTTTTTAGTATATATAATAAGATATTATAAGGAATTTGTGGATTATTTTGATAATTTTTTTATATGAGATTTTATATTACTTTTACATTCGCTGATAAATTTTTTATTTTAACTTTTAATACACTTATGTGGCATTTCTCTTTCGCATTTTTATTAGATTACCGTAAATATATACATTGTCAAAATAAGAAATGGAAAATCGAATCGTCCGCAGCACGCACGTCGTTTGTTTCTCCGATAATCGCGACTAAAATTCGAAGAGCGGAAAGTTCTGTCATATTATTCCTCACTGAAGCGATATTTTCGTAGTATTATGACGAAAGGAAATAAGCGGAACGAACATATATATATATATATATATATATATATGAAAAAAAAACGAAATGCTGCATTAGCACTGGTATCCTAATATCGCGAGGGAGTTTTGCGAAATTTTATTTGGAAGTATTATTCAAACCACTATACATCAATTGTATAGAAAATTGTCCTTTGTCTTTTTCCATTTCTTTATCGAATAAGATATGTATGTATTATCTAAGGTATTATATATGTATACGCAAGTGTACATATATATATATATATATATATATATATATATATCCATGTATCCGATTGTGACAATCGACTTCACGAAATTAGGACACCGATCGCTCCTAGCTCAATTATTTGTGAGAAAAAATGCAGGAAGAGAGAGTAAAGAAAATCGGCGGTTGATGCCGGTCGAAATGTTGTTCGTGTCTTGGAAAATGCTCCTTGTATACGCGTGTAATGTATTATTGCGCGCACATTCTGCTGACGTGATTGTTTTATCTTGCCTCTTCATAGAAGATATCGTAAATACACGCTAATTGCCTGACAAGTTCGTGGCCACGAGAAGAATCTGGAAGGTGCAGTCTTGGTTTTTTTTTAGAAGCTGTAGCTTAACTGCATTTCCTCCTTAATTTCCTTACAAATTTATCCAAACCTTGCACAAAGGAATATACTTTAAAACCGATTTCCTGGATTGCTTAATTTAATTTTACTATTTTTTTTAGATTTTTATTAAGCTTTAAGAAGGTTGTAAGGCTGAGGCGGGCAGTGAGAGGGGAATGCTTTAATACAAAAGATATATGGAGTGTAGCCAACATTTGAACATTAAAATTTGAAGAAATAAATAGCTAAAATTTAAAGAAATATGGATTATAATACAATTAAAATGCAAAAAATATTAGTGTTTATTTGTGTAAAAATTTCAAAGATAAACACATATTTTTTAAAACAATAAATATTTTTAGCTCAAGAAATGATTTGGCAACGGTGTAAAACTGAAAAATCGAAGTTGGTAACACTGCAAACTGCAATGTCTGACTGCAATGTCTGACGGGTAGATAAGGTTACGCTATAAATGTTTTGAAGCGTTCTTTGACAAATCATTTAGTACAATTTTTTTCTGTGATTAGTAAATCAAATGCTTAGAAGCATTTGTAGTGAGACTTTGATGGCACTACTCAACTGATAGAATATTCTTTATTCGCAATGATGAAACAACGTTGCCACATTTTCTCCATCAAACAATTTCAATGGCAGAAGTATCACATCTTTGATTATATTTTTTACTATTGTTAATAAACTGAGTGGTAAAAGTTGTTTTAATCTTCAAATATATTTTTAATATGCTATACTTTATATATTAAACATAAATTTATTCGATTCTTAACATTTCAAATATTAATATTTATTGAAAACAGATACATAGAATCGAGTCTCCTATGAGAGAAAGAGAGATAGTCTATTATAAAATCCAGAATTTTGTTATTAATTTACAGAAAAATGTGTTGATCAAAAAATCTGAAAAAATTTACATAAAAGCATGCTTTGTAGATAAAGCTATGTTCCAAATTTCAAGCAATTCTTAACATATTGCATTCTCC